CTTCCTCCTGCTGGCTAGTTCTCATAGTACTGGAAGGTTGCTAGGAGGTGGGGGGAAGTCATCAACAGTCTTAACCCAGATGCGAACTACAATAATAACTGGTATCACAAGATATGTTCATGGGTACAATACTAGCATGGATATTATGGAGTAAACAACTACTTTCTGATTGGATTTAAAGATTGTTCCACAAGAGGAAACATATGCCTGGTATTGTAAATCTAGTCAAGAACCCATGCCTGGGGAGTTCACAGGGCCCAGGTATGAACCTACTATTATTTTGTTAAATGGAAATAGTATCAAACTGCTCTTCCAATTCATCTCTCTCTACCCATCGATTACTGCAACTCTTAGACCTCATCAGAGAAGTCTCTTTGTACAGTAGTTAATGTTAAAACTCAAAACTGGTCAAAGTGCAGAGAATAAATGACTATGGAATGCTCAGACACAATTGGGACATCGGTATCACTCCCTGCTCCCCAAGGCTTAGGGACCATCATGGAAGGGTAGGTAGAAAGATTTTAAGAGACAGAGGTCAAAGAGGACTGGAACGAAACTGTCTTCTTGACATGACAGGACTGCTGCATACATGAGCTCACAGCAGCTGTGGTTGGCTATATAAAACCTGCAGAAGATCAAGCCAATGAACGTGGGTGGAGGAGGGGTTCATGAGTCCCTACCCATAGCTGAGGAGCTATTGGCAGTTGGCTGATGGGGGAGAGTCAGTTTTCTTTAACGGTGTGAGTCCTGGTAGGTGGACCAGACTCCACTGAATGGCCCCAAACCCAGAAGCATATGGAGAGGACAAACTGGAGTAGATGAGTTATTAAATTTAAAAAAATAGAGGACATAAAGTTTGGGGACAGGGAGTGGATCTGAGAGGAGTTAATGGGAGGAGTTTGGGGTGAATTTGACCAAAATACATTGTATGAGATGCTCAAAGAATTAACAAGGATATTTATTAAGAGATGGTACTGGGACTAGAGAGATGGATCAGTGGTTAAGAGCACTGGCAGCTCTTCCAGAAGACTCAGGTTGAGCTCCCAGCACGAATAAGGTGGCTAACAACCATCCATAACTCCAGTTCCATGAGATACTATGCCCTCTTCTGGTCTCCATGAATATTGTACACATGGGTGTACTTACATACATGCAGGTAAAACACTCATAAACATAAAATAAAAGTATTTTAATTAAAAAATATTCATTCCTTTACTTACTCTCTATATATACCTTCAGACTATGGCAGAATTAAGAAATTGTGAGAGATGGCCTGCTCTACAAATCCGGAAATATTTCACTTCTGGCCTTCTTAGAAAATATTTGCAGATCTCTGCCCTAGGATCTAGCTATCCGTTGTCCACTTCATTTTATTTCTCTTCACTGTAATACACCACTTAATGTCCATTTTTCATATTGTTATTATTCTGAGTTCTTATCCCTAGCTTAGCTTATGCCACAACTGCATCCTGGAATTATCTTCCTTCTTTAAATCTTCTATTCTTTAAGGCAAATTTTAAGTCATATTTCCTACCTAAAACCCTCACCTATTTTGTCAAGGCATTTCCCCTACATGGCACCAGCTAGGTTTCAATTGATCTAGCAGCCATTTTACTGCTATTTATTTCCTATGTGCAACAATCTGTTATTATGAAACAACTGCAAGGTCCTTCAAGTAAGTAAATAAGCCTTAAATTTCTCTTGAAGACTCCATAAAACCTAGCCACTGTGTTAGGTATTAGCGGCTTGCATGTTTAAGAAACATTGTTTTTTAAAACTATTTTATTCATTCTTATTTTATTTACTGTATATGAGTGTATTGCCTGCATAAATTTAAGTGCAATGCCCACGGGGGATGGAAGAGGGTTTCAGATCCCCTGGAACTGGAGTTACAGACTGTTAGCTGCCATGTGGGTGCTGGGATGTGAACCTGGGTCTTCTGCAAGAGCAGCCAGTGCTCTTAACTGTTGAGCCAGCGCTCCAGTCCCAGATTGACTGCATTTCTTAAGGTGAAGTTCACTCTAAAATTGTTTTAAGCTTGA